ATGGTAAAAGAAATAGTATAATACAATGGAATGATTTAGAATATTTAAGATTAATCAAAAGTTTTGATAAAATCAAATAAAATTCAAGAAAGATTTTTAATTTGATTTTATTAAATATTCAAAATACTAGTTGTCACGATTGTTTATGCAAAGGCCAATTCGTTCCAACAATTAGTTACAAGTGTTTTTTTCGAAATAACTTGAAAATCATATAAGCAAATCATGTTTTATGAGTTTAATCAATGAACGTATCTTCGACATAATGACTCAGTCAAAGGTTAAATTCTATCAGATTTGGCGAGTTTTATGGATATGACATTATATTGATGTTTTCTTTCTGTTTGGTAATTAGTAACATAGAATGACTATAAAGTCAATGATGATTCTCAAGTAAATGTGTACTCTTTTGCACTTGATGTTTCTGTTAAGTTTAATATTTCGTTAATAAAAGACTTCAGACAATTGTTGACATGATATTTTTAATCTATTGTCTTGTCTTTTCTACACAAGATATAAGAATAGAGTCATTTGGTTTAAAAAATATGCAAAATTAAGTTTTCTATTTAAAACTATTCATATTATCAAACTATGAAAATCTGCAATTTGTATTTTTTTTATAGCTGAGTTTGAAAGCTGCATGAATTTAGGTGAAATTTCAGTGTACAGATATGTGAGACTTTGAGAGTCACTTAATCTAAGGAATTATCAACAGGAGCATTTATCCAGTCCAGTGACGTCAGGGACTTTTGAAATATATTTTGTTGAAAATGATTATGATAAATGCAAGTTGCCAACAGCAATTAACATTTCTAGGCTTTCAGTCATTAATCATATTTTCATTTTTCTCTTTCGTTTGAAAGCAAACAAGTTGTTTAATTATGTAAGTGAATACGTATATTCTTGATCCTTTTTCTATTTGAATGATTATGAATCCATAATCATTTTATGAAAGAAATTGTTGGAAGTCGTCAAGGTTATTACCATAGGAATGTTGATAAAAGGTGTCGGAGTAGTGCATTGTTTTTTCTTTATGACCTTATTCAAATAGCCTTGAAATGAGAAGTTCTTTTTTTTAAAGTAGTTCTATGTCGCATTTATTATTTATCATTTTTTGGATAAATTAATAACATCTGAGTATATTAAAATAATTTAAGGTCTCCTCCCCCTCAGAAAATCCGATTTTTGGGAAAATCTGAAAGTTGACTTTTTATCATAGGAAGATACAGCGAAATTTCCTCTTTCAGAATATATGTGGCTTTTCGCAAAACGATCATATTTTAATAGACTTTCGAAGCAAACTTCGATGCTACTATCGTGATCTTTCAGAAGTTGTCGTAGTTTTTTAAAGGTTTTTCAGTTTTGAGAAAAATGTCTCTTTATTTGTATCACCATTGAATCAATCATTATATTTACTTAAGTCTGACCGATAGTAATAGTTTAAATGATTTATTAAGTGCTTCAAGAAGTTTCATTGACACATATTATAAATATTTCATTTTAATACAGTTCTTTTCTGTATTTGAAAAAGTTTTTTTATTGTTTTTCTCAAAATATGGTTTCCAGACAGGAAAATTGAAATAACTCCCACTCGGCTCAGGCTATAACTGATGTTTTTTTTATTTTAAAGGTCCGAATCAGAGTTAACTTTTAATCGGACGAATTTTTTATACTTGATTGCGGAAGTAAGAAGAGTGGGATTTGTTGTGGACGAACTCAGCTTTTTTATGCTTATTTTGAACACCATGTTCACTAAAATTCTCATAAAAAATGAATGAAAGGAAGTTTCAAAAGTTTGTTCGATGAAAAGTTGCGCACAGAGGCTAGCTTTAATTTGAAATCAGTCCGAGCTCTGTACCTCTTACAACGATGAAATTATTTCGTTTCTCCTGAAAACTATAAAAGGAAGCCGGAAGTTCAGTCTAGTAGGGTATATCAGGCTGAATTTTTACCCCAAGCGTCTCTCACTAGGACCATTCATTCCTGAAAATTCCAGCCCAAACGGCCCGTTCTAAGTGGATCACACTATAGAGTGCCCCAAAAGTTTCTTTACCGCAGAAAAAAATTGAATATCTCTACCATATTTTTTTAACAACAAGGCTGATTCTTATATTTATAAGAGAAAAGTTGATAAAAACTGTTTTGAAGTATTACAACTACCTTCAATAAAGAAATAGAATTTTTCACAATTTATGAAAAAAACAATATTCATATTGCTGCGAATGTATTAAGAAACATTGAAGTGAATATTATTGTTAAAAATGAGTTAAAGTGAAGAATCTGCTAGGATGAATGTAATCGATTTTCGGCAATCGATGTGAATTAATATTCGTATGATTAGTCTTATCTACTTAGGTTGTATTCAATTTGATTCTTCATTACAATTGTTTTTTGCATGAAAATAAATGATGGATGAACATGAAATTTAGATATGTATGGTTAATTTTAGTGATTGTATCATTCCAATTTTCATCGATTGAAAGACTTGCTTTGTTCATCTTCAATTATGGTACTTATACAAAATATAATATTGATAAGACAAATACCATTCAATTAACCATTAGTATAGCTATTCAAAATGAATTCAATAATGTTCTTATCTTTGAATTAGGTACTTGTATTCTATGATGAATAATTTCTATGACAAATGCTATTAATGTGACAGTAATATGACAAAGTATCACAAAATTTTATTATTTAGTATTTCGCCAGCATCAATATTCTTGATTTACTATTGTCAACAATTAACAATCAGTTCATTATCAATTAATTTCAAGCGAATTCCATTTATTGTTAGATAGTCTTTTAGCTTGAATAATATTTCCCTTAACCTACAATCAGAACAATCTCATCAACCTGACATTGTTCGATAAAAATACAAGGAATACTTCAATATGATATAACATTAATACGACTAACTATTAATCCAAATACATGTGAAGATTGCCAGCCATCACCTTCAAATATTACTATAAATCTAATCTTATCTGATATATAACGTATACCTTTCCCATTACTTTTAACATTCTCTATCGAAGATATGTTGCTGTGGTTTGGTACAGTTTTAGAAACTATACATATTATAATACAAGATATCCCAGAATTGACAATTCAATCCATTACTATCAATATTTCTTGATTTGTAGGTTTGCTTATTGTACGGATAAAATCTTTAAATATAATTGATTGTCATGTGCTATCAAACGATGCACATTTGATGGATACCATAGTCGATTGTATGTATTTTGTAGAGAACAGAGAATATATTAATATGGCAACAGGCATCTATCAGTCATCCAAGCATAGGAAGGGTTCAAACTTAAAAGTAACGAAAGCTAATTTTATTGTTGAAAGGAGCACGATAATAGTGTTGGAAATAGAAGCGTTTCTATTTCTGAGCAGCAATAAACACAAATATTAGCTGTCGACAAACCAAGATAATGGGTTCAAAACTATATTGATAATTTTCGAAAAAAAAATGACGTGTCTAGATAGAACTCAACAAGCTTCACCGGACACATCCATTCTCTAAGAATACTGCGTTGTGCAATTTTACTAGTATCCAAAAATCAAGGTGCTTTTTAGACCATTAAGCGTTTTGCACTGTTTTAGTTCATTAGTGTTCACATATTTGAAATTAGTGTCGAATTCTGAACAAAATAAAGTATTTGGTTTGATTTATCAAAACTTCAGCATTGATTTTTCTTGAAAAAGTCGAAATTATCTTTTTTTTTTCGTTGGATTCCAGAGGAAAATATGCTATTTCATGCAGAATCCAATGTTAGTGACAAGTATTTGATTGTTTTTGACTTCCATCCTAATCCCAATTGCAACTTTCGGAAAAGGATGAAATTACATAATGAATACTATTTTTTTGTTTGTTATTCGATGCAAGTAGCTATGCTTGATACGAAATGACCTAATATTTTGAAAGTTTGTTAAAAATTGAACAGCTTTGATATAGAAAGATTATTTGTACGTCGCTTCGTTCAGTAGTAAAATGTTAAATACTCAGTTTCGCTAAAATAATTCCATTACTTTTTTGAAATTTCGTAACAACCAGTATTTTTTTGCATAGTCTAGTTCTAACTAGAGAAAATCGATGAAAGTTTCAAAAAATTTGCTTTTGTCATTAATGAGAAATAGATATTGCAATGTAAAATAAAGAAACTTTATAATGGCTTGGTCATGTCGTCTAGGAGACGAACATACTCATGGTGTTTTACATTATTTTGATATGCATATCTTCTAACTGAAAATGGAATATTCGATGAAAATCTTCTTATGAACTAAAGCGACGGCATTGCTCGATACAGTCCAGTTACTCATTCAAATTTAATTCGTACAAACGGTTAGAAATATTCGAATAAAATCATCAACATTTTTTATAGGAATATATAATCAAGATCTTTTACAAATCGATAATAGTGTTAATGTATCAATCAGTATAAATAACATGTGAGTTGATGACTCTTATTACATTATGCAATAATTGAAATATATTTCTACAAAATCATAGTAGAATTCTTAATAATCAATCCACAACCGATTGATATTTCACATATTATTCTTATAATATGAATCGAACTATGTAATTTGATTTATTTACTACCATCAACATACTATTCATTGTTGCCTTGAACAGTCATGGAAACGAGTATAGTTATAATTACATTTAATAATCATTAGAAAAGAAGAAAAGATTTTCATTGGCGAATATATTCTGAAAGACATATTTTCTATGATTGTAACATGATATGTATGTTTTTTATTCTTAGTTCTTAATTTTGACAATTTATATTTATATGTCAATCAATATAATGAAAATAGTTTTTATATATAAGTGTCTGTTATTTGTTTACGTTAATAATTGTAGAGGATTTTTTTTTGAAAATTTGAATGAGTCATCACTTCCCATCCAACAATTCAACAACGTCAACTTTTCCTTTTCTCTCTTTTATTAAACATTGTAGTTGTAATAATTTGTTCTTGCTTACAAACATATGGCATCGACTACAAAAAATCAAACTTCAGCTCTTACTTCTTTAGCTGGTAATTGTTGTCTAGAATTCTTCGTATATTGAAGATTTACATGTGTTTTCAGAGATTGAAGAATCTCTTCGTCAAATGTCAACATCAGATTTCACTGAACTTAAATCTTATGCTAAGCCACCATTAGCTTATCTCGCTATATTCGAAGGTATTGGTGTTTTACTCGATCCATCGAAAAAAGCATGGGAATGGACAGACGATAAAAAGTTAATGTCAGGAAACAAAAATGATTTTTTACAACGTTTATTTAACTTTGACAAGGATAATATCAATAATGAGCAAATAGAAAGACTCAAATCAATTTTGGATCGGCATGATTGTCAACCGAATAATTTAGCTGCAATATCATCATTATGCTCTAAATTAGGTTTATGGCTTCGAGCAGTCCTAGAATATGCGACACAACTGCAACAATCTAATTAGTTGCATAAATTAATTACCTTATTCGTATTTTTATTGACTATTTTTAACAAACATTCTGTCTTAAACTTTTTTTTTTCTTTCTCGAATGAAAAAATAAAATAAAATGTTTTGTTTATTGCATGTTAAGAAGTGTCTCGATGGGAAGTGCGATAGATGTCTCCGTAATATGATCAAGAGAAAAAACGTATGTATATAAAAATTACTTACAAAAAAAGAAAGTATATATGATACTTCTTTGTTTCTTATAATTTCTGTTGAAATGCTGACTTGTCAAGTTTATATTAGTCTTACCTTTGTACATTGCATCAGCAACATGCTGATAGTATGATCTCTTTCACATCATTTAATTATTTTGTGTAATAGTTACAAACATGTTGTGTAATAATTTCTACTGTATATAAAAAGCGCGAATGCTAAATAAAAAGCTATTTCACAAGCGTTAATAACAATTCATCTTTTCGACACTCAGCTTCTGTATATATAATCAACTGAGCCACTTCTATCAAATTTATTTTTAACATAATATAAGTAAGTTAAAAGATTGCAATATATAGTTTTATACAAATTTATATTGTAGTGTTTCGTGGACGTGGACGTGGTCGTGGTCGTGGAGGAAATCGTGGATTTGCACGTGGTCGTAGTACAAGTCGTGGCCGTGGTCGTGGTATAAGTCGTGGCCGTGGATTTGTACGTGGTCGTAGTCAATTTAATGTCCGTGGTGGTTACCGTCGAGGTGCACAAATAGTACGTTCGAATTCCATGGATATTGATCAACAAACACCATCAGTCAATCTTTTAGTCGATCTTGACATTAATGCTGATCCAAAACCATTCTTTATCAATACGAATGTCACTCTAGATCAACATATTCAAGCACAAACAGTAAACCTATCTCGGTATTTAGCTACTTTATTTACACTTGATGAAAATAGTGTTGAAATTGGTCAAAAAGCTAAAGCCTGTGTATTGGCTGCTGCTTGGTGTCGACATGATCATAAATTAGCTAATAATCTTTTACGCCATCGACGTTTATTCACACTGACTGAAGTACTTAAAGCATTAACAATGTTAGATGCTGCTCGACGAATTCGTGTTTATGAAAAACAACTTAAACGTCTTGAATTATGTCAAACAAAACCAAAAGCAACAAAATTGGGTAAAATTAAAAATAATATTGATAACTTAAAGAAACTCAAAACATCAACTGGATCAGCTAGTGGTGCTGTTGCTCGACATATTCAACGTTGGACTCGAACATTAACTCAACAAGAACTTGAATATTTTGCATTACATATGCCAACAGAACCATGGAAAAAATTAGCTGATATTGTTCATTTTAATCCAAGTAAAGATTTTCCTGCTTTACCTTGGTTTTTAACATTTTGTTTTGGGACACCAGCACCAGCTGAATCAATGGTATCACGTTGTCGAGAATTAACAAATGAAAATATAAATATTTTAATTAAAGAATTTAAAATTCCTTATTCACATTTAAAACAATTTAAAGATCATTTAAATGATGAATCAAAAGCAAGAATTGCATCTTATGAAGAAAAATTAGATACAATTTTATGGTATTATGAAGATTTACAATGTTCAGATGTTGATGAGATTATTAGCGAAAGATTACAAAATGGTGAACAGATAACTTTACCATATGGTAAACTTATGGAACGTCTTTTACTTCTTCGAACATTACGAGACAATGCAACTGAAACAACAGTTTTCGAACATAATGGACGAGGACATGGACGTGGACAAATCACTAGAAATGTTCATGATCAACATTCAGTACAATCAAGCAAATGTAAATTATATTCTGATTTGTTATTAATTGCCGAAGCTCAACTTGAAAAAATTAAATTACCATTAGAATCACCAGTAGCAGTCATGGGTGATGCATCAGGTTCGATGGAAGTTGCTATTCGTACAGCAACTATTCTTTCATCATTACTAACAGCAGTTTGTTCCGCTAAATTGAATTTTTTCAATACTGAAATGTTTTTACCGACATTTACACCGAAAACTATTGAAGATGTTCTTACATTAGCATTGACAACAAGAGCTGATGGTGATACAGCAAATGCTGCTGGTCTAGTATCATATTATAATAATAAAGAAGTGATTAAGACATTTGTTATGGTGACAGATGAAGAAGAAAATACAGATGCTGAAATAGCTGATGGTATATCAACACGATTCTTTGATTTATTTATGAAATATCGTGCAGAAATTTATCCAGCTAAATTAGTATTTATTTCATTCCTATCTCATCAACATGCTCAAGGTCAAATGTATTCAGAATTTCAAAATGCAAATGTACCAGATATAATTCAAGTAAGTCAAATAAAATAATTGCAGACATTTTATATTTTGATTTGCTTTTGTTTAGTTTGTATTCAGTGGACATCGTCCAGATTTGACGAAAATTGATAATCTTTTGGGTTTATTATCGACCGGCTCGTCAGATTCATTTGATGATCAAGTAGGAAAATTACAGAATGAATTTCAACAGAAAGATGTTGAAATAGCCATGACGAATTTACTTAATAAGCAAAAGGAAAATTCTCTTCCCATGGAAGCAGAAATGACTTCGGCAGCATCGAACTAATTTTATAGTGTATAGTAATAATTTTGTTATTTTTCGTTTTAAACTTTTTTAATCAAAATAAAGTATACATGATTGTTATTATGCGTTATTTTTTTATTCAATAGCGAGGATAAATGAAGAGTTTGGTACGAATCCAAATATAAATTATTAACAAGGTCGATCGTTCCGGTCACCGGATACTGCAGGAACCGACAGGAAGGATGCGGGAAAATCGCCGTATTCTGCAGCAAAACACTAAAAATCACCGGAACATGGAAGCAGCATTCCGGTCGGGAACTTTTCTGATTTTTTCCCGATGATTTCCGACTGATTCCTGTCGGAAAGAATTGGAATTGGCTGAAATCCACCGGAAAAAAGTTCGAAAAATATCCGGCTGGAATACTGCTTCCATGTTCCGTCGATTTCCAGTGTTTTTTTCTGCCGGAACCGGCCTGTGCTTTTCGACCTGACTCGCATCCATATGAAGCATCCTCATAAGTTTTCACACAACCACTTTCTCATCCCTTCCTCCTATTGATACTACTCTAAAGTTAGTCCGTGAATGGCTCGAGGATCATTTTTCGTTTTACCCACAACTTCAGAATGCTTTATCTACCATTACCATCCTTGATTCCGTTCCATCCTCAGCTTTTCTTAGACGCAACAACATTGATTCCGATGATGTTATCCATCTCACCTGGTCTCTTGTTTGCCTTTGTCTATCCACTTATGACTTGTTCTTTGAAGTTCTTCTCGAGATGAATGAAAATATCTCATCTCAAGTTCAAACTACTCGTTTACTTGAATTAGCATGGACCCTTTCCTCAATCCTCGATGCTACCCCCATCAACCACTCATCTCACTTACCACCTTCTAATAACGCTCACCAATCACCTCTTCCATTAACTACACAAAATTCTACAAAAGATCCTGCTCTCAATACCTCATTCTCATCCTCTTCATATACAACTCCTTCACCATAATCAAATCACACACTCAATCAACAATTTTCTAATGACAAGCTAACCCCACAACCACTCAAGTCTTTACAATTTGAAACTCATGAACCGCCACCCTGTAACGTCCCTTCCACTCCCATTCCACTTATGTCATTCTACGCACCCCCTACTCCATCAATCATAACCCTCAATCGCACAAACGGCAATCTTTCCGATTCACGCAACTTTCAACGAATTCTCACCGACGACGTCTATACAGCACCGTTTGTCGCCAACACCCAATGTTTATATCTTCAGCTCATAAACACAATCACAATCCTCAACATATCATAGATCTCCAACCTGATATACTTCGCAACACCATCAACAAAACAACAAGCCTCCACCTTCTCACCAAACCACGACCCATCATCTTCTGATTTTACACCTGATTTCAATACTGAAACGATTGAACTGTCGTAATCGAACTAATGGTCTTTAGATGACGACCATCAATTCAACTTTTTTTTTCTGTCTTTTTCTTCTCCTCTTTCGCTCTATATATCTGTTTGGTTATAATCTCCACTCACTTGATTTGTGACGCGCGTAGAAATTCATTTGGTTCGAAGATAAATTGACCTTGTTGTTTAGCAGTCTGCATATGCTAAATAAATGAAAAATTCGATGATCTAAGAAATGTAGTATTGTTGAAGAATGAACTTGCTTCTGCTACTGTACTAGCATCCCATTTTGCTCCGCTTTTTTCGCCTTCATCATATTTCTAATTCAGATAAGACCGCTGAGCAGCCGTAAATCTAGCGTTTGCGCGAAGACGAAAAAGAGCCCAACCCTCTTCCAAGTCAACCGTTGGAATCATTAATTTCTTTGCAGTAGTACCGACAGCCGATAGAACAGGTATTTGCTTTGGATTATCATTTTCCAATGATTCTTTGTACATGATAGCTGCCTTATCGAGAAGCCGAAAAGGCGGAATAACGATTTTATGAGAATCAAGAAGAAGATGTGCGCGAAGACGATCTTCACGTCGAAATTGCATGACACACACTGGTTCGATACAATCAAAAGTAACAAATGATGAAGAATCTTTATCAGTAACAATCGTACTATCAACATCCATTGCATCTTCATCGACTAAAGTATCATGATTTGTATCATCGTCCGCTGAATGAATTGAATGAACGACGAACAGAATGACGTTTAGATGCCTATGCATCAGAAATAAGTTAACTATTTATACCTGTTTCAAGACCATCGCCTTGCCAGTTGCAGTTGTCATGTCGAATACTAATCTGGGTCGGAACAATATCGTCATCCGAAGCATTCAACTTCGATCACTGAAATGTTTGACCTGCTTCTACCCCAAATGCTCTCGATACAGTAACTTTGATTTCTTTTTCTTCCACTACCGATCGACGATGGACTTTGTCTGACACTAATTCATGTTGAATATTATTGAAATTCTGAATTCCTGACCACCTTGTTCTCTCTGAAGTAGTAGAAATCGATAGACGGCATGCCATAATAGTCATGTACTGCGTCGACATAGCTGCCTTCACAAAATCCGAACTGGAGACACAATCATTCCTTTCATTGATAAATCGACGTATGTTCGCTTTCGTCACGGCTGTCATCCTGTCACAAGGTCCCTTACCTGACTGCGCATCGGAAAAATCAAACTGACGACCGAAACGCCTGTAAGTTTATAAAGTTGCTCTACTACAAGAAGAGTGTCTGACCCTTTGTAACAACCGGCGTTATCAGTACGAATGTAGGCAATCGCAAGATTACTATCATTCTGTTTTAGTTCTTTGAGAACCTAAAACGAAGAAAATAAATAGCGGGTTCTGTTCTGGTGTCATCGATGAACTATAGATAGATAGGTTAGATCAAGAGCTAGCTCAGTTGGACTCTTATGTCTGTTGTATCATGCATCTGAGTACGTCTTTATCAGTAAAACGAAAAACAGAGTTAATTATTAAAAACGAGAAGCATCCGCATGTTCCAACTTGCCTAAGTGCATTAGTCGTAGAAAGCAAAACGAACAATAATTACACTGTATAAAATATTAGTGAATGTGCGACAATCTTGCTTCGCGTTGTCAAAAATGTGCCAGAATGTCCTATGCTCAAACAGCTGATGGATGCCAGATGTAGATGACTCTGATCTGCGCCGAATGGCATACGTTATATGCCATGGTAATCCTCGTTTTCTGAAGAAGTCTCTCTGAGCCTCCTGATATCTTGTCGGCAACCATTTCATGGCCCAATCAGCCACAAGAAAAACAATTGTTTTACGAAGTTGTTCAAGCATATGTTTGCGGGCTATGTCTTGATGAACAGTACGTAAAAGGTGCTTCTTCCATTCGATGATAAGTTGAAGATTCTACTCTAATCGATATCGTAACCGCTGTCGCATATCATCAGTAATGTTCATATTTTGCTCAATTACCAAAACAAATTGATCAAACGTCTCATGTAGACCATAAGCAAGAATCACAACTGAAACAGACAACTGATGAACTCAGATAAGCAGACTTGTAATGTACATACTCTTTATCGTGTTCGTGATTGCTCTTTTTTTTGCCAAGCTGAATTATGCGTATCACTCAAACCAAACATTGAACAGTGATCTGCAACTCTAATGTCATTTGATACATGTGCTCGATAATCTAATTTCAGGTAGCTGCACCCATCATGTAAATCTTGTTTGAGACGAACAATTACTTCTGGTTTTGTACCTGAAAAACAATGCATAACACTTGCGACAAGTAAAAGCAAGCTGAGTGATTCGCTCAATATTTACCATACGTAGCCACTTCGTCGCATAGATGTCCAAGCTGCTTGAAAGCTGTTGAACCATCGCATGAGAAGCTATCTAAACCTGCCAAACTTTTTCGCATCGTTGCACCACATGTTTTAAGAGTATCAAACAATGATGACGGGCCAAGTGGTTTAAAAGCATTGTCATCAGCTGTCTCTCTGCAGCAGGCGAGATAGTGAGACACAATTTAGGATGGTATGATATTCCGAATAACATTCGGTACAACAATAGTCTCTCCATTACTCAACTTGAGTTTTCGCTCTCCGAAGGGCATATCTATTGTTATATGAGGCGACTGGACGAATGCAATAAAGTGCGCCAGTTGTTCCTCTGTATATCGTTGCACAGGATCACGTATGGTCTCTGAGAGAACACCTCGGCCTGTATGGAGATAGTGATATTCCTTTAAGAAATTACCATGAAAAAATGCCTGAGCACGTGCAGCTTTTATTTTCCAATCTGTCAGCCCGAGAAACTCGAGTTTTAGTAAATGTGTTGGCAGATCAGCATCTACGATGGACAACAGTTGTCTTTTAGTTGACCAGTGTTCAGCTCTGTAATAAGCATCTTTCAAAGACTCCATAACGATTTTGTAATCTCTGAGAAAGGAAAAAATATTGTTTCTTAGATATTTTTTTCTTCAAAGAATATCACAATGTATTGAATATCATACCCACCTTTCGTTTTAGCTGATTTCTTTGTTTCGTCATCTACTAAATCCTCCCATACAATATCCGCATCGTTTGGAACTAGTAGAAGAAGAATATGGTGAAAGATCGCTTTCATCTGACTTCGAAAAGCCTTCTGATCGTGTCTATTAAGAGAGCAATAATTCTCAGTTGAACGACATCGTCCCCGATAATCTGTAAAGGCGAACCACTGTTTGAATTCTCGTTTTTCATGATCTCGCTTTAACGCCGGAAAATCACGATCTACGGATTCATAATCACCACTTTGTTGAGAAAAACAACTTGCTGCAGTCGATGGTGCGTGAACAGTTATTTCATCATAAAGCCACTCAAAAAGATCCTTTGTTTCATCTGTATCACCAAACTCGGCAGTACACGCTTTTCTACATTGCGTACAAGCCCATGAATTGTATCTATAAAAGAAGTAAGAGATTTTTCTTGAAGCGAACAAAATATTTTGAGAATAGCACATTCAAGCAGCGTTCATTCCATACATGCAACGCCAATGATTTTGTTATACGTTGAAGACAAGAGGTAGCTCGTTTATTTCTGTTGAAAATATCTACACACAGTTGGCAATTGTTTTTGCGACGCCACAACGCTAGTAATGAACTTCGATGATTTGTGCAAATCATTTTATTATATAAATTGTCTGATTTCAAGTCATAGAAACCAGCTAAAAGCAGAAGATGTTCGAGTTCAAATCGACAATCAATACGTGTTTCACTAGAGAGTTCGAGTAAATACTCAAAACTTATTTGTTCTTCGTTACAAGAAACCTAAATGGGAGTTATAAAATTCAGTAAACTAATAAAAAAATCTAGTAACAAAAAGTCTAGTTGTGTACTAACTGGTTGAACTTTTTCTGCGAAGAAACAAATACTTTCTTTATCGATATCCATTATCATTTTTTTCAATCAACAAAGTAGTGATAACTATATATATATATAAATCAATAATTAGTGACAAGGGAGTAGTGATACTCTCAAGAATAAAAGAATAACCAAATGAATAGTACACGGTCAACCAAAAAGAGATCGCTAAGAGAGCAAAAAAAAATTACTGCTGCTTCCAATTTTTGTACAAATGCTTTCAAATTTACATGTATGATACTCTCACAATCAAGAAAAAATATCATCGCTGTAAATACACAAGCAACAGAAATAGTTCTGATGAAGCTATGTGGTTGTATACGTGATAGTATTTAAAGCAATTTTGTCTTTCTTGAAAATAATTGATCTTTTAGTAAAGAATCGATAAGTGCATTTTTTATGAAAATGTCCAAAAGTCATGTATAGTGAACAACATTGTCGTGAACTTTTGGAGACCTTGCTAGTGTTTTTAGAACGAATATTTTTTTTATCAAGAGATGCGCCTTTTCAAGTTCTATAAGAATATGTAAACTGAACTTTAGGTACTCAAAAAATAGCTGCATAATAAAAACAAAAATGTGAAAAACCAGCATATGAAAGAGACCAAAAATGGTCCATTTCACATATTCTAATGAATCTTTTTTTCTTTGACACCCACAGTGATGTGTATGAAATAGAGAATTTTGTAGAGCATCTTCTGGTCTATCGATTGGTATAATTTAATAACGATTTTGACCAATTTTTTGTCATCAAAAATATCATACATGCATATGAACCAAAAGTTATGGATTTTGAGGTACCCGTAAATTGGATCAAAACAATCGAATAGGTAAAATATTGGAAGACTTCATTCAAAAGTTATAAAAATTCGGGTTTCTGGCTAACTTCATTTTCTCTTTCTAATTAGCTAACTCATTTTAGAAAAAAATATTTTTCGACAACTCACCCCTAGTGTTTTGGGTGTTGGTTCCGTGGACCTTCTCTTAAGGGCCCCCCCCCGCCTTAGAAATGAATTCCCACTTAGGATGGGCCTTTTGAGCTGAAAATTTCAGGCATGAGGGATCCTGAAGAGATATGCTCCTGGTAAAAATTTCAGCCCGATTGGCCTTACTAGACCGGAGTTTCAGCTGAATCATAGGTCATTTTTGACCTTCAGGAGAATTGATATAACTTTCCCATAAAACGAGATATCGAGCTGGGGCTGGTCTCAAATTAAAGCTAATGTCAGTACGCAACTTTTGTCCGAACAGAATTTTTAAATTCAATCTTATTGATTTTTTATGACCATTNTGTTAATTACATTACATTCATTCCGTTTTTCTACGTGGTCATTGATTCTTAAGTGTCTAATGTCACGAAAATCTATAGATTTAGTATCATTAGCATCATAGTGAAAAAATCGTTAAAACGGGTAAATAGAATTTTTTCGAAAAATTTCTTAGTTTTCATAATGTTTACATTGAAAAAATTGAACAGAATCTTAGTGCAGAATAGACTGCTAAGAAATGAGAAAAAGGTGTTTCAGAAACTTTAACTTGCAAAAGAGAAATTGTAGACCTCTAGTACCCATATTTTGGCTTGCGACTAGATTGATCATGCTAAAGTTGATAAATTTACATCTTTAGATGAACATGATCAACAGACTTTATATTTCCATCGATGTATGCATCTACTCAATAAAGTTGAAGGTTTGTTCAGAAATCAATAAAAAGAAATTGATGAAGGGCCGAGTATTCATCTATTTTGATAAAAATTCAAAGAAACCAAGATGCCATCTTGAGGTTTTGCGACTAAAATTTCCAGCACAATCGATAGTGGTTACAGATATAGAG